TAAGCTGCCGCTTGTCTGGGGGAAGCGGAGAGGGGAGCAAGAAGCCGTAACGCTGCATCTGTCCTATCTGCCCTATCTCTCCGGAGCATTCCCAGCCTATTTCTTTCCATGCTCCACCGGAGTCTAATCCTGCATGCAGAAAATTCCTCACGCTTTTTGCTCTTATTCCTCCAAGGCATCTGTTTTCTCTTCCATTCTGTCTGGCTGTTCAACAGCCTGAACTCAGTTACTCTAAGCCCTCCATCTTCAGTGATGTTCTCAGCTCCACATAATAAATATTAACAGCTTACATGTATCTTGGGGTTCTTATGCAAGGACTCCAAATAGCTTTATGGTTCATATGCACATGGGGCTCACTTTATTTGCCAGCAAAATGCAGCCACCGATGAGACAGCAGTTGTTTAGCAACCCACAGTGACAACACACACTAGTTAAGAGGGGAAGTGAAGATAAATATCGTATCCATTTGAAACTCCAGGAGGGGATTGGAGTTGGCAGAATATAAGTACTTGTGCTGAATTTTAGCCAGAATACTCCAAACAGCATTCCTATGCTCACAGAAAGAGCTATAGGATTTAAAATACCTACCCCATCCCTGGCGGTTTATTTACTACTCACATTAACGGCACTGACGTTTTAGGATGCCAGCGACTCTTAACCGGAGAAAGGCGAGTCACTTGAGTAATGAACTAGACAGGATTACTCTAAAGGCCTTCCTCAGAATTTCTAGGGAAGGAGAAACCAGACTATTATATATAAACAACTATCTGTTAGCTGTCAAATTAAAAAATATTTATATATTTTAGGCAGCTTCACCCTGCAGCTATGGCTATCTCTGCCCCGCAACGCTAGGAGGCCAATTGCAGCATTTGTTTCAGTGGTGCCATAAACCCTTCTGCTGCCTCCTAACACTCTCAAAACCTCGCTGTGGTTAAAAAATAAAGGGGAGAGGGGAAAGAAACACATTCCTTCCTCCTCAGAGCATGGCAGCTGAGGGAGTAGAGACTCTGGTCAAGGATGCTGCATTTCCCTTGCACGGTCCGGGGAGCATTGGTGGCACCGAGTGGCTCTTCCCCGTTGGAAAGTCCAGGTGTGCCAAAAGCAACCAAGTGCCAAGTAAGAGACGAATGGGAGCAAACCAGCCCATGTTAGCTTCAGCCGATGCCTCGGCTGCTGAGGAGACCCCAAGCCCCGCGTGACGTGCCCACAGACCGTGTACCGGAGCTGAGCACTAACTGCTGGCCGTGACCCTGCCTAAATATCCTTCCACTATTTAAAGCTCTTTTTGTAAATGGGTGTACTGCTTAGCTAATGGACAGCTTAAAACAAAAAAGTCCCTGGTGATCTTTCAGCAGCAGAGACAGCAAGGACCTCAGTTTTAGGTGGCATCGAAGGGCCCCTCGTGGCTGCAGACCCCTGTACTCCAAGGCAGCCCAGGAGTTTCCAGGTCTCCCTCTGATGGCTGATTTCCACCCCAGGCTGGGGTGGGCATGACCCTGCCAAGCATTTTTTGGAAACTGTCGTTTCCCAGTGCTGCAGAGGCCCTCGTCCTGGGACCGTGAGATGTGGGGGAGGCAGAAGGTGCAGACAGCTGCCATCAAGATCCTCTCACCAACACCCGCCAAGCCCTCTCCACTAGCACTGGGTGCTCCCCACTGGGCTGCTGGGAAGGCTTCTCAGCAGAGAAGCAGCAATGAGGGAAAGAAAATGAGGGATGGGAAGGATGGTGGGGAATCTCCTGTCTCACACCCAGGCACTTCCACCTGGTGAGGTGATAGTGGTGTTTTGGGGAGAAGCAAGAGAAGGCTTTTGGGGATGGCTCGGGACAGAGGCACCACTTCAACTCCAGAGCAACGCAAGCCCCAGCTCCTTATTGAAACCAGCCCTGATGTGGCCTCTTCTTTCGGTCAGCTCTTTCTGGAGGTCCTCAAAGGCAGCCTACAAAGCCCTTTCCAGTCTTTGCTGGGTTTTCTCCACACCCCTGGCGTGCAGCGAGGTGCATATGGCTTTGGTCCTCGCCGAGAGCATCTAAAGTCTTTGCATCATCTTCGGCCCTGCCAAATCCTCAGCACACCGCTTTGGCTCGGCTGCCCGCTCACCTCGCTGCCTGCCCGTGAGCTTCTCCCAGCCTGTCTCACCAGCCACAGCCTGAGCATCTCTAACAGCCCTCAGCCAGCATCCCGGGCTCGGGGACACGCGGAGCGTCCCCGCCGCTCCCATTCTAGGGACAGGGCTTCTACCCTTGCCTCACAGGGGGATAGCTCTTGAAACATAAAGTTAGCTGCCTTTACAGCAGACATATTCTGCACATTCAGATCTTAATTTGCCAGCTCCTCTCCAGCAGCACTGTGGTGCATGCTGCACTGTTTTTCTCTCTTTCTGCCTGGACTTTAAGTTTCTAGTGGTTTTGAATTTCACTACACTGCAAAAAGGCCCCTGCTCGTGTTTCTCCAGATCGCTCTGGTTCTGTCCTCCTCCATCCACCCCTTCCTTTTAAAGGGGCAGGGGAGAGGAGGTTTTTGCACTGTTGTCACAGCCTGCATCTTCCCATCGCTCCCTGAGGACAATATCAAATAGCAACGTTCACTCATGGGCCTCCTTCGCCCACACAGAACGCTCAGGCTGTTTCTTTGACCTGGGCTCCTAAGCCATGGCTTACACAGCATGTACAGAAAACCCATTTTCCTCATCTTTTTTTCCAGTGGCTGTACAGACATAGCTTAGTGTGATCCACCCGCTTCTACCCACTTTGGTTTTTTGTACTTCATATACTGGTAATAATGCCAAAGGATAAGTTTGTTTTGCGTGATCTGCTTTATGTAAGTGCGTTTGGCAATTCTTAAACTTTCCTCTGGAGCATCCACATGCTGGAATATTTCCCATTGGAACTGTTCTCGGTATAAGTTAGCAAATACCATAGATAAATGGGATGGGGGAATAAGCAAGAAGGACTTGTTTATACAGCTATCGAAATCTGTGCCAGGTTAGGGAACGCAGACTGGGATAAAGCCTCTTCAACTCCATTTTAGTCCGTACCAAGATCACACCATCCTATTGGATAACCACACAACAGCCTGGAGCAAAGGACAGGAGCCCCAGGTCAAACGGCATTTTGGAGCGGTCCTGGATGAGGCGGCCAGGCTGGGCTCAGATCCCTGAACTCCCTGCTCCTCGCAGGGCAGGGGACACAGGCGAGGGACTGCCAGCCCCCACCTCGGCCACAAGGCACCAAACGTCACACAACTCCGCTGCCTGCCTTTCTATGCCACCGAACGCCACTTCCCTGGCAGGGTTGGAAGCATCTCAACAGTAGGTGCCTGTGCTGGCACGTTCAGCACACCCAGCCTTCCTGGGAACTCCAGGAGGGCAGGGAAACGCAGGCTTCCGCAGGCAGCCCAGCAGCCAAGAGCCCCACACGATTCACATAAAAACCCGCAGGGCGAAGCCATGCCAGTGGGACCTGCAGGGGACAGCGGCCGAGAGCCACCCACCTCTGTGCGAGGGATCCCTGCTGTGCCTTCCGAGGAAACAGGCGCTCCTCACCGCGCTCATCCTGCCCACGTCTTCCTCGGTGAACTCAGATCTCGCCTCGGGGGCACTCGGTGCTATTTGATTTATCCAAAGGGATAAATCCTCCTCCACTCCTTTCTAAGTTGGCATGCCACAAGCACCTTGAACCTGCACGCGCCAGGGCCTGGCTACACACTGGCCATGACTGCAGCATCCTCTGCTGCTTCATCCTGATCCCTTCCTATTCCTCTTCTTCCTAAGGTGACCAGCCTGGAAGCAAAAATATAACTGGGAAGGAACTCAGGCTGGTTCCCTCACTTGCCCTTTCTGCTGTGGTCTCCTCCAGCCCTTGCCTGGTTGTTGGTACCGCAGCTCCCCGTGTTTGCTGGGGCAAGGCTCCGTCCCCGGGAGCCGGCGAGGCAGGCTGGAGCGGGGAGGGAAGAGGTTCGCTTGCCGCCTGCCGTCAGAAGCCTGAACTGAAGAGGAAGACCGCCGTGATCCCGACGAGCGACTCCAGGCCTCGGCTGGCCCGAGGCGCAGCCAGCAGACCGAGAGGAACCCTCCTCACTGCCCACCTCTCTGCTCCGCACATCTGCGTCATCGAGGCAGCCACATCACAACGTAGTTTTGGTTCTACCGACACAGGACTTCCCGCTGCGCACCACCAGAAGCCTGCACAGCACAACTGCGTTACAAACCCCTCCTGCCCTCTACAACTCTCCAGCTGGCCTGCACTGAGGGAAATGATGTGCATCTTGCCTACGCAAAAACAATAATCTGAATTTATAGCTTAACTCCAAGCCATAATCCAGTGCCAAAGCTCAGCAAATGAGCAAGCATGGGACAAAGACCTTACACTTCTAAGTCATGGGTGAGGGCTCAGGCCACTTTCACAACAGAAGCTTGCTGGCTGCAAGATGCAACCCCTGTTCTGGAGGAATGGAGGGTTTCACCAGGAAGAGCTGTCACACCCCCACACGACACTGTAAGGAAGCGAGCAAGCCACACAGGTGCCAATAAGTGGAGCTATAAGTTATTTATTCTGCAAAATAGAGGTATCTTCTATGGAGTTGAACACTGGAATCACAGCATTATGAATGGAGGTGTGGAAACATTATGACAGCACACACAGGCACACACGCGTACACCTACAGACGCGCACACACACAGCCTCTGTACAGGGCCCTACTCTCGCGTTATCTGGAGGGAACCCTCTCTGCGCCTTTATTTGCAAAAACCTGCAGCGAGGGCTGCATTCAAGACCTGTTCACAGGGCTTCCGAGGGAAGGAGGTTGGTCAGGACTGGGTGCGTGGCACACGCAACACGTGTGCAGAGCACGCTGGACACGCTCCCAGCCCAGCGCCCAGCACATCCCGGGCAGGAGCTAGCTCTCAGCAGAACACAGCCCTCGGTGGAGCGCTCCCATTCCCACCTCAGTCTTCGCTCACGCAGCCGAGCGCAGGGTGTCTGGAGGAGGCAGATTTCCACGTTAGGACACAGTCAGCGCTCCCTGTTCACCATGGTCCATGTTCCAGAGCCGGTAAAACTCTGCAAAGTCGACGTAGGGCTCCACACGCCCATCTTCATCTGGCTGGAGCGAGTGGGTGGGTCGGGAGCGGAAGAGACCGCCGTCTGAACTGGAGCTGCTACTCTGCGTGTGGGTATTAGTCGACTGGAGTGTCACAGTTGGGCTTTGGCTATGGAGAGATGGAGAGAAAGAGAGAGAGAGAGAGAGAGAGAACACAAGCATCAATTTTTCCTGCATCTGATGCTTTGGAGGAAAAAAACCAACAAACAACACACCAGAACAACTGCCAGCTTCTTCACAGATCAAGCTATCCTTAGCAAACAGGTAAAAAAGTTGCAGTTCCTTGCTTTATCAGAGCACTAGAAGTGCTGAGAACTGCTTGGATTAGATGAACACCAAAGACAGCCGATTCACATTTAACTGGAAGGCCCTAAGTACAACCAGGCATCTGAGGAACAGAGGGGAGGAAGCAGGAAAAAAAAATGGGGTAAAAAAAAAAATGATTAAAAAGAGAGGCATGCTGGCCTCCCCATACCCATACAGTATGAGCTTTATGGGAAGAGTCTGGCAACAAGGAAAGCTATTCTTGCGTGACCTGCGCTGCAGCCAAAGCAGCTCTAGTGTGTCAGCCTCATTGTTTCTGGAGCTACCAGAACACAATGACCAGAGAGCTTCTTCACTTTGCAGTACGTACACACACCACCTTGTGCCAAAGGCTGAACCCAAACCAGAGCCACTAACTAGTACGACCCTGCAAAACGGATCCAAATGGGATCCTGTTCTAACCTTTATCCTTTTTTTCTACGCTGGCCCCTGCCTCTGAGCAAGCCAACTTGTGCAGTGTAACCTTTCCAGCAGCCTTACAGGTGAGCTGCACATCCTCTCTTCGCCATTAAAACAAAGGGCACCCACACTGCCTCCACGTGCAGTGCCCAACGCGCTTGGCACACAAGAGCCAAGGAGAAGGGCTGCTCGCTGCCAGCGCGCCCTCCGCCAACAGCAGCAGATGCTGCTCCCAGAGCTGGCTCCAGAGCCGCTCGCTCTCCTCCTTCCCACTCCTCACACAATCGCTTTCCAGGCAACACGTTATGCTGGCTGTCAATACTGCAGTCAGGAGGGCCACGCTCAAGATAAGGGAATGATTGACAGGTAACTGACAGGTATCTCTCTGCTTTTCAACCACTTTACACAGTGTGAGGTCCAGGGAAAAAGAAAGAGAGCAGGACTTTTACTTCGTGAGGGTGGGGGTGGCTTCATCCAGAGTTGAGCTGCTGTGGGCACCGTTGACCATCTGGCCTTGGGAAGGCATGACAAGGGACAGCGTGACACTCGTCTTGCTTGTGCTTTGGGAGCTGGAATACGGCACAGAGACTGGGTAGACGCGGCCTCCTGAGAAGGGAGGAAACAAGAGTTGTAAAACACAGCCGAGACATGAGCAACTGGGGATACACAGCAGCAAAGAAAGGCCAAAAGAACGGCCAAAAAACCCAAGAAAATCCATTAAACTGCCTTCCTTAGGCGCTGTACTGTATTCTGTCAAATTGCCACAGACTCTGGGTGTCAGAAGCCAAAAAGCCCTTTAATAAGAAAATTCCTTCTGCGTTGAGTATTTCCTCCCCTAGCGTTAGGTCAGTGCTGGATCAATCAAGAGATCGTATCTTCCACCCACCATTTTCCTTCATTCCCTCCCCAACCTACCTTGCGTTGGTGTCAGCATGGGCTGGCTCATCTCACCCAGGGGGTACCCAAAATTCCTCACGAGCAGCGTCATGTCTTCATGCCGGGGACAGAACTTGGACCGTTCCCCACCGCTGGCAAAAGTGTCGCAGTGGATCCGCTTCACCCGGTCCACTACCGCTTGTGCCACAGCATCCAGCGACGTCTGCTTGGCAAACTCTGTGGCTATCATGGCTGCAATTTCCTGAGCCGAGAAGGGAGGAAAGAAAAAAACCATAACGAGGAAGGATGCTTAAGAGATTTTGGAGGAAGCTTTTTCCTGCCATCTGATCCAAGAGTATTTA